GGGGAGGTTTAGGTTGGATATTAGGAAGAAATTTTTTATGGAGAGAGTAATCAGGCATTGGAATGGGCTGCCCAGGGAGATGGTGGATTCTCTGTCCCTGGAGGTTTTCAAGATGAGACTGGATGTGGCACTTAGTGCCATGGTCTAGTAACCACGGTGGTATTGGATCAAGGGTTAGACTTGATGATCTCATAGGTCCTTTCCAACCCAGCTGATTCTATGATACAATAGGAGGAACCCCTTGTTGCTAGCCAGGCTGGGAGCAAGGGCAGGAGTTCATTGCAATGTTAAACCCTCATAATCTGGCCCAAAGGGACCATGGGTGGGGACTGTAATGAAAATACCTTTGAATTCTTGTAGCCCATGATTTGAGTTGTATGTTATAGGAATTACTATAGCAGGAACCACCCAAGACAGTGCAGGATGAGCCTTGCAAGGAGCAGTGCCAAGTGCAGCAGTGGACAGGCTGAGCTGGCTTTGGTCCTCAGTAAGTCCATGCAACACACCACCTCTCCTGTCCTGAGCAACCACTATAATACATGGAGCCCGAAGTCATGAACTAAATGAACTCAGTGGACATTTTGTGGACATTAATGGACATTTTACAGATGTTTTACAGGGGTGAACCATAGACTAAGGGAATGTCACCTGTATCAAATGATGGGAAGGCAGCAGGGTAGTTAATGAGGATGTATTGGATAGTGTGGGACCTGGAAGTGATGTAAATGGTATGGAATGTGGTTTTGGCTGGGATAGTTAATTTTTTCCATAGTAGCTTGCATGAGGCTATGTTTTGGATTTGTGCTGAGAATAGTGATTATAATTCAGGGATGTTTTCATTACTGCTGAGCAGGGCTTACGCAGAGTCAAGGCCTTTTCTATCTCTCACCCCATCCCACCAGTGGATGGGGAGGGGGTGCACAAGGAGTTGGGAGGGGATACAGCCAAGACAGCTGAGCCCAGCTGACCCAAGGGACATTCCATACCATATGGCATCATGCTCAGCAGTAAAATCTAGAGGAAGAAGAAGGAAGTGGGTGACATTCAGAGTGATGGCATTTGTCTCCTCAAGTCACTGTAATGTGTGATGGAGATGGCTGAACACCTGCCTGACCATGCACAGTATTGAATGAATTCCTTGTTTTGCTTTGTTTACATGCACAGCTTTTGCTTTACCTATTCAACTGTCTTAATCCACTTTTCTCCTTCCAGTTCTCTCCACCATCCCACTGTCAGGGAGTGTGTGAGCAGCTATGTAATGCCTAGCTGCCGGCTGGGGTTAAACCACAACATTTTTGTACAAAGCAAACATCACTGCTTTGATTGGAAAACCACCAGTGTATTTACTATAATTACAGCAACTTCATCTTGATTATGAAAGAAAGTTTTAATTGTGAGGACAATTAATCACTGGAACAGCCTTGCCATGGAAGTGGTGGAGTCCCCATCACTGGAGGTTTACAAGATGTGACTGCAGAAAGTTCCAAATAATCTCATCTAGGCTCCCCTTCCAACAAAAGGTTGGACCTAATGTCCTTCCAGCCTAGGTTGTATGGTATGGCATAACAGTATAAGGAATTTTCTGTTGTGACTCCCAGCTGTGATTTTAACAGAATCTGCTTAAAGAAACATAGCCATTTTGAAAATACATCTTTGGTAAAACTATGATATGAGAAGAAAGTCTGCAGTTTCAGAAACTCTATGACACTCTAAAATGCTGTAAGACATTGGTTTGGTGACTGTTATAATATACGTAAGGAAATGGAAAAATGCAACTCACTGGTGTTTTTGCTCTTCCTTAGCTGATGCTCTAATGGTGGTTTTAACATTCTATTGACATCAGTGTAATTCTGAAATTTTTTTCTTTTTATTTCTTCAAACCATTCTCCAGTCACTCCTTGCAGCCCTTTTTCAGACTTTTTTCTCTTCAGAAGTTTGCTAGAAAGGGAAAAAAAATATTTTAAGCCATTTTAGATATTACAGGCACATCATTAAGAACTCTCCCTGGTGTTGATTTAAATATTTACAGTATATCTCTACATGTAATGACTTTTTAAAAGATACAGTTGGACATGATACGTTCACAGCAATCACATAAAATTTTTTAATGACAGGAAAATTCTCCAGCTTAACAAATGACACTATGCGACCAGGTTAAATGGATGACTCATATGGTTGATTTATTCTCTGTCTTGAAGAAGTGCATTCCTTTTCCTTGCAAAAATAAGGTAATAATTCATAAGCACTCTAAAATAATTGAAAGTAACATTAAGTTCAGCCAATAATCGAATCAGAATAAATAACACCCTAACAAAGCAACTTTTGAAATATTTATTCACTCATTTAAGTAGAAGCAATAACAAGATTATTTTTATTTTCAAGAGGAAGATCACCAATGCCCTGACACTGAGGTGTCCACTATACATTTTCTATGCAAAGGAGAATAATAAATTGTGAATTCAGCTAACAGATATTGATGCAACATGTTCAACGAGTTTATCAGATTTTCCTCTTTCCTTGCTGCATAGGGATTCCGCCTGTGTTTAATATGTATGGAGGCAACTAATAATGAATACATGAATGTTCTGCCACACTAAGGTGAAGCCTGCACAAGCTACACACATGTGGTTGCAACTGAAGAAGTTATTTAGTAGTAAGTTCAGATTTTAGACCAAGAAGTCAGAGGAATTAATTGTTTAGCTGGACATAAAAGAACAAGGTACGGTCGCAAAGGAGTGGGAATAGTGCAATGGGCATGCAAAGTTACTTGTTTTCAAATGACATTGTACAGATGCAAATGCAGCAAATCCACACCCCAACTGATTCTGATGGCAACAAAACAAGACTTCGTGCACAGCCTGGAGATGTAATACCAACATTTGAGCAAGGCTTTCATGTAAATCTGCCACCTTAATCAGTGGTAAAACCCATACCTAGGAATACAGATGTTCTCAGAGAACATAAGTTATTTCTGTTATCGATAAAAACTCATCTGAGACAACACTGCCTCTCAAAATACACTTAAAATTAAATATCTAGTCTGGAAATGGATATATTTTGATCTGGAATTTATACAGAGTACATTGTCCATACTAGCACCTACTGTTCATCTGGTGGCATCTGATGAACAGGAAGGCTGGAGGGAGACATTTTTGGAAAATGAGTACTTCCTTTGAAGATTACACAGCCACATGCACAAGTACTAGCCATTCCAAATAAACTTATTAGAAAGGCAAAAATGTTAATCATCACAGATATTACCACACCATGGGAGTGACTAAACACTGCATTCTGCAGCTTGGAACGCAGCCTGGCAGTGATGAGGAACAAGAGGGGATGAACAACGTGCTCTCAAGAGCCAACGCCATGACCTCACTCCTGTGGCCTCACCAGTAAGAAGCAGTAAAAGCACACAGAGCCAGGCATGAGGTACTCGGGGAGTGGCTGCAGCCACAGCGCCCGCCCAGTAAACAAGGCTACGGCAGTTCTGCTGAAGTCCCCGAAGTGGAGACCATCTGTTACAACGCATTCCCTCCGGAAGGAGACGCTGGGATCGCCGTTCCCAGTGGGAATGGCTGGGCGGGGCCCTGGCGCCACCCGGCGGCGGCATCCAGGATCACAGCTTGTCCCTGTGCGTGTCCCGGGGCAGGGCTGCGACCCCGCACCCGCGGCCGGGAAGCGGGCAGGATGGACACATAACCGTCTGTTCGCTTCACGTTTACGCATTCCAGAGACAAAGGAAAATACAAAACCCCCACACTTGCTCTAACGTCGACCATATGAGGCATTGCATGAACATGCCTTGCACTGAAAAATGTACTGGAAGTCTTGCGCAAACACTGACTTTAATGTTTAAACACGGTAAAATCTTTACGAGTACATGCTTGGCATTATCTGCAGTCATTATCTGTGAATGTACTGCTTTTGAATTGTGCTGTCATCCTCAACTCATCAAAGAAATCCTTTAAACTGCTTGTTCGTATTTGTATTTATATTTATGCGCACATGCAGGCCCACATATGGAACTCTATATACATAGTTATTTGAGCAACGAATAATATTAATATGATACACAATCTGTAATTGCAATATTGCATGACTATTAAGCACTTCTCCTCCGTGATGACTCCCCCACCAAACCACATCATTTCCCTATATACCTGCTCTGTCAAGTTTATGTGCCCCCTCATGATACTAATGAATGACAGTTGTGAGCCAGAAGGAAAGCCAGTCTCAAGAAACAATTACAGCAGGAGATGGTATCTGCAGTGAGTATTGCAATGAACTTGCCTCTGAGGCAGTGCTATTGTTACTCAGATTACCACTTATATATTGAGACACTGCTCTGTAGGAGTATCAAAACACCTAGCGCCCTCTAAATCAAACGTACGAATCCTGCTTCCCTGTCTGCTCCATCCATCCTTCCTTCTTGTTTGTCTACAGCCATGTTTGGACACTTGAAGTCACTTCCTCTTGAGAGGAGACAACATCACTGTGATGGAAAAAGTACTTCTAAGCTGTTGTGGGATTAAAGGCAAGTCCATTCCCAGGATAACTTACAGGAGACTGCTCCACAAATCAGAGCTGGCAGCAATCCTAAATGACCTCACAGGCGACACCTTGTTACCTTTTGCCATCTATTATCCTACAGAGCATCTAAACTAATGAATCACTCAGGAGTGATTTCTTTGCATTGGTTTTAAAAACATCGCTTCCTTATTGGTACAAGGATGTCCCAGTATTTCTTACGGACATCTCCAGGGAAAAGTTAACCTAAATGTTTCTATGTACTTTTATGTGGGTTATCATAAATATTGTCAATAGATGTGTAGCCTCCCCTGCCATTTCCTATTAGGGTAATAAGGAGCTTTAATTGCTACTGTAAGAGGAAAGGTATTTTCTTTACCATCGTCATCCTGAATATAAAGCAGAAGACAGATGCGCAAGGTAGTAGAAACCGGGTTGCCAAATAGGACATCTGGGGACACCTCTGCTGTTTGCAGGGGACAGAGGACTCAATCCCACTTTTGCCAAAACAGAAATTATGATTTCTATTGATTTCAGCAGAGCAGGATTTGGCCCTAAAGGACTCTTACCACACACCTCACAAGAGAACAGATACACAGCATAAGGAATTGAACCAGGTGAAGGATAAGCAGGTGCAATTTGCTCATTGGATCAAAGCTCTCAGAAGACAAGGCTGAAAGGATTGCAGATAAAAACAGTGTTGAAAACATTAGATAAAAAATACAGGAGGGCAGATAACTTGCAAAAAGTTACCTAAACCAAGCTTTTCTCTTTGTTTACATTCCTTACTTTTTTAGCAAGGAATGGCTAGGGATGTTAAAAAACAGTGCCTGAAGAATCTGTTCTTTCCTAATTTTTTTACTTCAACTTATGCTCTTCCCACTGCTTTATACATTATGTCACACTGGTGAACCGTGCAACTCCACCACTTCTGTAACTAGTTATTTTTCTAGAAAACTCTGGGTGTTGTCACAGTCACGAGTAGCTCTAAAATGCAATGTAGGAATGTTTTTTACTTAGAGTTCCTTTTAATGTTATGAAAATAATTTAAAGACATACTTTCAAGTTGTCATATTTGGAAAAAAAGGGGAAAAGAAGTATTACTGGCAAGGGCAAAGACTACCACAGCTGAAGTAATTTGAAAAAAAATTATATCTGCCGTTTCCTAGAGACATATAATAGCAATAACAACAACATTCTGGTTACCAAGGTGCCAGAGGTAGGTGCAATCCTACCAGGAAGAAAAATAACAATACAGAGTCAACGTACTCTTTCTGAGCACCTCAGACACACAATAGGTCTATTTTCTAAGGCAGTCTTTATTCTTAGTAGCTGGTATATTTTTACTCACATTAAAGCATCTTTTGTTTATTTTTCTTTCGTATTGCTGTCTGTTTGGCTAATGAACCAAGTCAGTCTCATATGTAAAACATTATGCACAAGTAGGTGAATCACAGAGGAAAAATTACTCCCATGTTTTGGTTGCACATACTACAAGGCAATGTAAAAAGACCTAACTGAAAATGCACTTATTTTTTTCCTCGATATTTCTAAAGTTAAGCATTTCTGCAGTAATTCTCTGAAAAATCAAGGTCTCCTCTATTTTGACGAACAAAATGTGTTGGAATAATGCTCCACTCTAACCTGCTAGAACGTAGCCAATCAACCATTCCAATTTAATTTTTCTTTCCCCTGAAATACTATTTTTTTAATCTAAGTCTTCATCCTTTTCATCCTTCTGTTGGTTTTGTTATTATGAATTCATTTTATAATGCCCATTAACCCACCAAGTTGCCTTCAGATGTATTTATCTGAGTAACTGAAGATGTGTGTGGGTAAAGAGGATGGGCCACAACAATGAAGAACAAAGAGTGTGTTGGTTCAGTACTTGTTACTGACCCAAAGGCCAATTAATGTAATGGAAGGACTTTCACTATCCTGAGCAGGCATCAGGTCAGGGTGTGGGAGGGAGAGTCACCTACTGGTGATACTCCTGGATGGAAAGGGTAACTGGAAGCGCTAAGAAAGATTCACCTGAAGGGCAGGGTAAACACTTCACAGCCCAGCACTGAACTGTATGGGATATGTTTTCAATCCCACTTTGATGGCTGCATTGAGTTGCCAGCTCACAATTATCCCAAAATATTTAGATTCTGGAAATGTGCAAAACCAAATGGAAGTCAGAAGAAAGTGAAAAGGGAATTAATCTTCTCTAGTTTTTCCTCCCAGACTGTACATTTAATAGGCAGAAGAACTTAAAACACACATATACCACTTCTGCAGGATATCCTTTCAAAGTAGCAAGTAGGGCTACATAAACATAGCTGTAAACAGTAAATGTAATTTTGTCCTCAGAACACTTTCCTGACAATAGATATTGGAATCACACATTAAGCCCTGCTGTGTC